CAAGTGGGCAGGGTTACAGTGTTTTGTTGTCTTGATTTCTTGTCCCAGAAATTAAAGAACTCTTTTCAGTCCAATTTGAAAGCCAAAGTAGATGCATCAATAAAGCTCAGGGGTCAGATGATGGACAGGAAGGGAGTGAACAGCTTCTCCACAGACACCTTGTATATGCATTATAATCAAGTTGGACCCGGGCACTGAAGGCAAAGTCCCTGCCTCTGTCATCTTTGGTCACTTTCCTATTGCCCAAAGTGAGGAAATTGAATGAATGAAAGTCTGATGTGATTATTTCTGTTAATGACTTCTCTTGAGGATACCCACTGTGTTGTAAGGTCTGAGGCACTTTGGGAAATAATGGAAAGCCCTGTGCACTAGGACTTCAAACACTGAGTCAAACACAGAACTCTGTCCCCAGGGAGGTTACATTCTGCTGCAATCAGCAAGTAGAAATCTTCCATTGCACAGAACAATCTCTAATCATTTTTGGCCCTGTGATGTCTTCTTTTTCTCTTTAAGCCCTACAGCTAATGACACATGGACTGTGCTTTTGGCCCTGAGTAGTTCTCAAGTACTTTCAAACTAAAGTCAAAAGGTTGAATGGTCAGACTCATAGCATGATTCACCTACAAGCTGATTTTCCATCCTTTGAAGCAGATATCATTTGCAAAAGTAATTTGACCTTTCAATAAAGATTGTAAAATACCTTCATTTATAGGCATATTGTAAGTGGCTTGGACATATTCACCATTACTTTGGTGTGGATAAGATTTATCGTAAGTCTCTAGGAGGCCAGGGCTGCTTTCTATTCTTTGAATCTTCAACCCAAACTAGTTGATATCTTTCAGAACAACGGTAAAATAATGTTTAGAATAGTATTAATTATTTTTATGGCTTTTTATGAATATTTGCATTATCTTTAAGTAGTTGTACAAAGAAGTTTCCATTCACCAAAGTAGTTTATGAATACAGTACATCTTGATCAATGTCATTCCTTTCAACATCCTCATCCACCCTTTCCCTTCTTATCTTAATTTTAGATTATGTACTTCATTCTTTTGCCCTTTAACAAACCAGTTTATGTGTACAATGCATCTTCATTTGTCATAACTTCAACGTCTTCACCCCACTTCAGCCCACCCTTTCCCTAATATATCTCAATTCTGCAGTATATACAATGAATTCTTGACTTCATTCTCCCTTCATTCTTCTCCCCTTCTTCCCATGGTCTCACCCTACCCTCTTGCAAGTACCCATTTCCTAGTACTTATTTTATTGGCTTTTGACTTAGTCTTTTTTAAAGAATTACACTAAAGTCTATTACACTTCAGTTAATTAATTTGTGACTCCTTGTTTACCATTTGGTGTGTTTACTTGAAGATTTATAGGCACATTTTAGCTATCACAAATGAGAGAAATAATGCAACCTATGTTTCTCTGGGTTTGGCTTATTTTGCTTAATATCACCTTTTCCAAGTCTTTCCATCTCCTTAAGAATGGTACAATATCATTCCTTCTGATTAATGAGTAGAATTCCATTGTGTATATATGCCACATGTTCTTGATCCATTCATCTACTGAGGGGCATCTGAGCTGATTCCATATTTTGGCAATGGCAAGTAATACTTCAATGAACATGTTTGTGCTGGTAGCTTTCATGTGGACTTCTTTGTGTTCTATTGAATAAGTGCCCAAGAATGGAATTTCTGGGTTACATGGAAGCTCTAGATTTAGTATTTTGAAGAACCTCCATACTGCTTTCCAGAGTGAGCAAACAAGCTTACATTCCCACCAACAGTGTAGTAGTGTTCCCTTTTGGGTACATCCAAGTTTTCTTGATATTGTCCATTCCAACTGGGATAAGGTGGAATCTCAATGTTCTTTTGATTTGCATTTCCTTTATGGCTAGAGATGTTGAACATTTCTTTATGTGTTTATTGGCCACTTTTACTTCATATAGGAAAATATTATTATTCAGTAATATTAGTGACTTTTAAATAATACTCAGCACTGTGCAAAGGGCACTATATCTGATGTTGTCCATATAACAACCTTAACCTCACTATGACCTCCTTGCTCTTAACCTTCTTTTCTTTTCTTTCTTTCTTTTTTTTTGGTTGGTCATGGGGCTTGAATTCTGGGCCTGGATGCTGTCCCTGAGTTCTAGGCCAGTGCCCTATTACTTAAGCCACAGCACCACTTTTGGTTTCTTGATGGTAAATTGGCAATAAGAGCCTCATGTACTTTCCTGCCCGGGCTGGCTTTGAACCACAATCCTCAGATCTCAGCCTCCTAAGTAGTATGAGCCACTGGTGCCCAACTATTAACTTAATTTTCTTAGGCCCCTTTTTTTACACACACATGTACACACAAAACAATGATCAGATCACTTAGGAACTGGAGTTTGATGATTCAGCCAATAAATATTAGACAGGAAGAGAAATGGAATGAGGACTCTACGTGCCCCTGACTGAGCAGATAATCTCTTGAGCCCTATGCCCTCCCCCCACGTGACACCCAGCCTCTCCACCTCCTCTGGCAGCTCTAGTAGAGGCACACTGTTAAAGAGTTGCTGCTTGAAGCATCTAGGGCAGACAACTATTGAACCTTTGCAATGGCAGCTGAAAAGGGGAAACTCAGAGCAGAGAGCAACAGATGGTGCAATTCACATTATCTTAGTTTCCTAGTTAGTATCATTCTATAAATTGTTTCCACCCTTGTGTACATGAAGTGGTGATGGACTAATTCTGAGTAAGAAAAATGACAGGTTAACTTGCCTTTCATTTGTTTTCCATAATAAATGGAACAGCTCCTCAAACACTCTAAGTCATTAACATTTCAATTTATTCAGACTCTTTCTTTCTGCCATCCTAATGGCAATATTACATAATTATATCTGCTGTATAACCATCAACTTTGATGATGCTCTGAATGTCTGTGCCACTCCCTCTGCCTTTGTTAGCCTGTTGCTTTGAGGAGGCAGCTTTCTCTTTAATGCCATCCTACCTCCTCTTTGCACATGGTTGTTAAACAGGGAAACAATGGCTGTGGATGAAGTGATGAGAACCTGGGTGAGGTGCCACTGCTAGCGTGCCTCTTATGTGCTGGGTACATTTCAATTACATTAACTTAATCCACCCACATCGGAGGCTGAGTCTATTGTCCTCGCATCCACTTTCATAGGTGAGGAAACAGTCATAGTGACACTTAACTTCTTCAAGGTCATACTAGGTTGCTAAGTACCAGCCTGGGCTTCAGCTTGATAATGTAGCCCAGCAAATGGCATACTCACACCCAAGATCTCTCTGATCATACTTCTTTTTTCTTTTTTTTAAAATTGAGTTTGAATTTAATCATTTAATTTTTTATTGTGAAGATAGTGATGTACAGAGGGGTTACAGTTACATAAGTAAGGTGGTGAGTACATTTCTTTTCACTAACCTGTAAGATTGCTGGATCTTTGGGTTAAGAAGGATGGGAGACATATGGCTGAGTGGTGAGGGCATGACGGCATTGCTATAGTTTGAAAGCAACTCCCTAAAATCATGTTGAAATTTAGTCCTCATTTGAGATACTCAGAAAGGGAGACTAGTCAGATGGGGTGGTGCATGCCTATAATTCCAGCATTTGGGTGACTTGAGGCAGGAAAATCAAGAGACACAGACAAGCCTAAACTATATAATGAGAATCCATTCAAAATCAAACTCTAAACTAAAACAGGAGGACCAGGGAAGACCTAGAATAGAAGATTAGGTCATAAGGACCAGGGCGCTGACATCCATTCATCTATTCACGAATGGATGAAAGGAGTTTTGAATCATCTATTAATGGGCTATCTTAAGGGTAAATCTGTTAGACTTGTTTTGTTTACACCCTGTTCACTCTATGGATGCCCTTTCTCATGTCAAGACTCTGTAGAATCTCCACCAGCAAGAAGACCCTCACCAGACAAAGACCAGCCCTCAGGCTTTAGACTTTTCAGCTCCAGAACCCTGAATTGAATGAACCTATTTTTTCAAGAACATTTTTTTTTTTTTGGTCGGTTGTGGGGCTTGAACTCTGGGCCTGGGCGCTGTCCCTCAGCTCTCCAGCTCAAGGCGAGCGCTCTACCACCTGAGCTACAGCGCCACTTAATGAACCTATTTTTTTAAAAAAATAAATTAGCTGTTTAGTTCTAGCAACAGAAAGAAGACTAAGATCAGCACGATTCCCTTTCACATTCTTGATTTAAACTTCCAAATTGCAGCTTTTGCTTAAAGACCCATGATGTTTGACTCATTGTTAGGTTTAAAAAATATTAACTATGTGAATACTGGGAGTGAACACAGATGCCAGCTATTGAAAATTTTGTTTTAATACTTAAATTACTTGTGTATTGGTAAATGGGCTTCCCCAAACCAGGCCCTCACTACTGCTTGGCGCATGTGTTGACACACACCATGCTCTGTCTGGGCAAGGGCCAGCAGGGAATTTAAGGCAACAACAGAAATGTGTGTATGTCACTTTTAAAGTGATACATAGAATAATTGTGCTTGTGGGTTTGGCCTTACAGTGCAATCTGAGGCTACTGATTGCAAGAGAAAGCGCCTCAGAGATGTATTGAAATTTTACAAAATAGGTCTCACCCCCAAAGGATAGGTTCTCTTTAATTCATTAGAAAAATGATCACATTCCTTTCAAATGAGAATAAAACTAATATTTCTTTAATGCTTATTCATCATTAATATTATGCCAATTATTGCATTACTTTGCACTGCTAAATATTCAGTTTATAAATGAAGCCCATAAGATGGATTAATTCTCCAGGAGCACAAACAAAAACTTTCAATATTTTATATCACATAATTAAATGTTGTTTGTTGTTTCTAGAACCAGAACTTGGGACATGCTAATTAATTGCTTCAAGAAGATAGCTAGACATGTTTTGTGGTTGGTATTCAGAATCAGATTATTTATAAACCCGGCACAACACTGCTGATGAATTACACTTGCAGAATAAATCCTACCTGCAGAAGTCTGGAGGCACCATGCCATAAACATTGATCCTGTCACACAACTCCAGGGCAATCGTCATTGTGAACCAGCCAGTGCTTAGCCAAGTGTTGGAGATCTTTCTGGAAGAAACAACAATTGAGTCTGCAACTTCTAAAGCAGTGGTTTGAACCACACTCAGCTTAAATCTGATCTGGAGTATAAACAGACTAAGTATTAGAAGATGCCTTCTCCATAGACCCTCCTTCACGGAGTGTATTCTCTCTCTTACCCCTCCCCCATTGATAAATACCAGAATTTTTTTATTTTTTAAATTATTTAAGTGGTTGTACAAAGGCTTTCAATTTAATGGGTCGGTTTGTGAGTACAGTGCATCTTGACCAGTGTCATCCCTTTTGTCCATCTTCTTTATCACTGCCAGCCCTTCCCATCCCTTCAATTTACTTGGTTCCATTCTCAAATATATACACGAGATATTATAACTACTTCTGCCTATCATTCCTCTCTCTATTTATCTATCCCCTCTTGATTTCATCTGCCCCTGCCTGGCAACACAGGTTCCAGCTTTCTAGTATTCATTTTGTTAAACTATATGGAACTTTACTTAGCTGAAATCTCTTATGGACCATCGTAACTGATATTGAGGCCCAAGAGACTTCAACATCGCCAAAGATGATGATCAATAGTTAAATGCTTAAGTGAGTGCTATTTCAACTCAATTTCTTATAATATTTTTTTGTCGGTTGTGGGGCCTGAACTCTGGGCCTGGGTGCTGTCCTTCAGCTCTTCAACTCAAGGCTTGCACTCTACTTTTTGAACCACAACACCACGTCCTCAACTCAGTCTCTTGAAAGATGACAGTATCAGTGTGACAATTCTTTGTTAACTAGATTACTTAACGAGAAATTCTATATCCCCAGCAAACTAGATAATGAACAATTTAAATATGAATAAACATAGAGATGTACCTACTGATCAGTCAATTATTAATCAATTCTAAGGTCAAAGCTTGTTTTCAAGTAGAATAACTAATATAGCATTTTAACATGTGTCTTCCCATTGGGAAAGTGCATGAATTTGTGAGAAGACTCAGGACCAGAGAAAAGGGCTAGAGAAATGCTTATATTTATCTGAGCATTTGTTTTTCTCTTGTCAGAGAACATTTGGAGGTCTCTGAAAATTTTCTATTAGAGATCTCATAAATTCATAAATTTAAGGAATGAATTTGTACCTCCATCATTACTTTCCTATTCAGCCATCTATACTGGGCTTCTACAATGTGCCCAAGGGTAATTGTAGAGATAGGACATGAAGGTCTAGTTTGACCCTGTGAGAATGACTTGGTCTACCAAGCTATGCTACTTTGGATATTCATTTCAATTCTTTGGGGGTTGCTGCTTTTACTTTTTCCCAGTATGATGGCATGCCTCATTAGCTAGTTTCAAACACCTTATCCCCAAGGTCAGACCGTCCGACTTCGCCCAGCCATAGCACCATATGTGAGGTGAATAACAGAGCTGCAGAAAGGATTTTCTGTTCTTGCTATGTAGAGAAGATGGAAGAGGTGTTGATGAACGTGATTCCCATTTCACATAAGAACCACACAAAAAAGACAGAAGAAAGAGGGCTATTTTGAAGGTGTTCTTTGAATGTGTTTGAGTCCTTGGCTCATTTTCCCCTCTGTTCCATCACGTGCTTCCTTAACCCAGGAAGAACTTTTATCTATCTATCTATCTATCTATCTATCTATCTATCTATCTATCTATCTATCTATCTATCTATCTATCTATCCCTACCTACCTACCTATCTACCTACCTATCATCTGTCTATCAATCTTTCACTTAATTTAATTCAATTTTAATGGTACTGGGGTTTGAACTGAGGCCTTAGCTGCTCTATCAGTTGAGCCACACTCTAGATCCCAGGAAGCGTTTTTATTTTTAAAAGCTCCTAAAGTTGGAAGAGCATGGGCTAGAATCTTTCCTGTTTTTCTTATAACCAGTCACATAGCCTGAGACAGGTTGCTGTTGACTTCTGACAATTTCTCATCTGTAAGTTAGGCATAGGAAGCTCTGTCCTTGGGGCTGAGAATGGAATGAGAGAACACCAGAAAGAGCATCGAGCTTGCTGTGTGTACACATAGAGATTCTTTTTTCCTCTCTTGACTGCTAGGTTGAGCAAATGAAGTAAACAATTCAGCCATTCCATTCAGTGCCTTTTAGCACCCATGGAGAAAAATCTTTGCACTGCTCTGCTTCTAGGGCCTTAGGTAGACTCTTTCATCAGTAGTTGGGATAGTAGTATACAATTCTGAAACCTCCAGACTACATAGGTATGAACAGTCGCCCTTCCTTCTCACCAAAGTTCTATATTCCTAAGACCTTTAAAGCTAGAGGAGCTCGGAGGGAGCAGAACTGACTGAGGGAGAACGGGAAGAGGAGGAAGCACCCTCCCTTAAGCTAGAGGCTGTCTTAACTTCCACATGCTATCAAGACATTGCCCAGTTATTCTTGACCTAGTCTGAACAGGGAGGAACTAGGCTAGGAAGAGACTAACACCTACTTTTATTCCCAGGTACTGATAGGGGAATCATACCCACACACCCTTTTCTTTTAGAGCTACTGGGAACATCAAAGAGGCAGGAGCAGAGGCTCCTCCCTCCCCAAAGTTTGGTTTCACTTGTTTGATATGGAATAAAGCCAGAGCCTAAAATACAGGAGGAAATTACTTTACAGAGAAGGGTTTTGTGGGTGAAAATGGGTAGAATATGAAGTAGAGGAGTAAGGAGATTAAAGCAAATAGGTCCTTTAAGTGTCACTTAAAATTCCACAGACTTCCAAAATAATAACCTTTTGGCATTATGTGCAAAAGAAATACAACTGCTTTGAACTGTCGTTCTTTTTTTTTTTTTAATTTTTATTGTGAAAATACCATACAGAGTGTACTGTCTTTCTGAAAGAGAGTTCAACTCTTTTTCTGACAAAGGAATATCTACTGTTTTTACACTTAATCAGCTGTAATGAAAGAATATGAAGAGCTGTCATGTGCTTATTAGGGGAAATTATCAGATATTCTTTTATATGATGAAGTAACACACTGAGCTGATAATTCTATAGTGCACACTAAATTACAATTAAAGGCCTTTCTGCTCCACCAGAATCTCATTTATAATCTCCATGGAAATATTCTTCCTGCAGTTATTTCATTTATGCTTCCTTTATCTAATTACTATAATATTGGTTCTGAATCATATTTTCCTAATGCACCCTTATTCAATTATAAAGTTATTTTCAAGTACAGTTACTTTCTAATATCAAAGAATACCACTTGACCATCTGTGTCATTTGTCATGCTTCTTAATTGCAGATTGTTCTCGAGTCATTTTTCCTTCACTTTTAAGTAGAGTGAAAACTTCTATAAATCAAAATCTATTGAATTATCTCATTTCTTCAGAATATTAGCTTGAAATGAATGTTCTGATCATGAGGTTTGAAATTTAAATAATTTACCCTTTTTGTATCTTCAATAGATGTTCCTGTTTTGTTGGCTTTCAAGAAATTCATGTATAGAGGAAATACTTTTCCATCTGACAGGTTTTGTGTTTTCATTTACAGAATTAGGTATGTTTTGAGGGGCACTTATTCCATTTTTTGTTTCATATTTTTAGATTTCAAGGAGCTGCAGGTTAAGAATATAAACATATAAGAATAAAGTCAGAGCTAGGCATGGTGGTATATGTCTGGAATCTCAGCTACTAAGAAGGTGGACATAGTATTTTAATGGGAGGCCATCCCTGGGAAAATTAGCTGGAAATCCTAGTTAAAAATAAACTAAAAGCAAAAGGGCTGTGGCTCAAGTGGTAAAGCACCTGCCTAGCAAGCTCAAGGACCTAGATTGATTTCTAGTACTGCTAAAAATATAAATAAAAACTCAACCTAATACTAAATTTTATTATATGTTTTATATTTATATTTTTATGATCTTTGACACTAACTTTTAAAAGAAAGTTTTCTAGAGGCAAGGGACACAAAGCTCAGCAGGGACAGGGTGGCCTGGTAATGCATTTTGACAAGCTACAAAGTGATGTGTGACTCCCCTAAGTGATGGCTGGGTGAATGATGCTTAAAAGGATGCTTTCAGAAAGAGGCCCAAAAACCCAGTTACAGAGATAAGCACTCTCTTTTCTAGGACTCATATTACCTGGGAAATAGATGCTGTGAGCACTGTGTTTTTACTGGCCAGAATTTAATGGTGTGTAGAGTATGTCTTATTGTGAGATTGTTTCCTAAAAATACTAAGTATTAGAGGGGTGGGAAGATCTAGTCTCTTAGTCTGTCTCTCTCCCACTTAGTGCAACCCCTTGAAGAGATATTGAATAATGAGCAATTATCCTAAATTGCTAAACCTGCAGCAGAATTTCAGGAATACTTAAATTTCACAAATAATTGTTAAACAAAACAGAGAGAAATGTTTTCTATTGAAGACACAGTTTTCACTTATTTTGCAATTTCCAAGAAAGTACCATTAAAATACCAATAATTCTTCCACACAAAGGATGTGGGAGCAGTAGATTTTATTGTTCTCCAACAATGTGCTGCCTGTACTAGCCAAATAGTGGGTTTAGTACTTTATCTTTTCTATTTTACTTATTCTATGTCTTTAGTTTTTTAAGATAAGAAATTGACTCAATAACAGTTTTTATAATAAGAAGGGTGAAATGTACCTGTACACTAATGATAAAGTACATGTTTTTGAATTAAGGAATGGCATAGGGTAATTGCTGGATAGTCACTATCCTATTTTCATGTAAAGTCACTGAGGTTGTAAAAGCTGAAACTTATCCAAGGTCACATCAGTGGAGAGTGATAGAACTAGGATTGCAAACTGGAGCTGTGGATTTGGACCACATTACACTGCTCTGTTCTCACACTGGGTCAGCTGTGGCCTTCATTCCTGGCTTCATCCTGGGCCAAACCTCTGGCTCTTGAGTGCAGACAAATGGTTTTCTCCACTCCTTTTTGGTCTCTCACATCTGAGAGACCTGAGACTCATGGGAAGGTCACTCTCTTAATATCAGCTCATTCTTTATTGGAGAAATCTCAAATGCCTGCATCTCAGCCTCAGTCTACCTTTCTGAGCAAGCTATTCCTTTACCTAGACCAATAATTTTTAATCTATAACGAGAAAACATTTTACATCAGAATTGAGAATACATACAAGCATGCATTCATATATGTTTGTATGATTTCCATTTAATCTTTTAAAGTGTGCAATTCATTGGGTTTTAGCATATCCATGAATAGGTTTAGGATATTTTTCCTATTTGCATATGTATGTATGTATGCATGTATCTATCTATCTATCTATGTATCATCTAGCCATCACTTATCTATCTGAAATAAAAGTTCTTGATATAATACTTTGCCCTACTATATAGGATGAATGTACACATTGTCTCTTCTATCCCACTTTACTCCATTCTTTTATTCCCTTTCAAGAAAAAGAGATTATTACGTTGACTTCATATTCTACTATTGAGTTTTCACGAACAGATTAGACAACGTTGCCCTAATCATGACATGTTTTTAGCTCTACATGCACAGAACCCTTAACTTCTCACAGATGACTCAGCACACAGGCCACCGCTTGGTGAATGGCTGCCTTTGAATGGGAAAAATCAAACTCACACAGTTCTTTTTGGCAGTGTTCACATGAGCCAATGAAATTGTAATGAGGCTATTCTATGGTGCTTGTTTACTAAGATATGCCTGTAGCTACATAGCCTTTTCCTCAAAGTAGGGATTTGGTCCCGAATTGTCCATACCACAGTCTCATTTTACTTTATTCATAAATTCACTTTGGACAGCCAGTGGAGGTGGGGTCGGGTGAAATGGAAGTAAGGCTGGAAGAAGATGGATAGAAGGCCTACCCTACCAGTGAGCTCTATGGACCCATCCATGACATGAATGCCACAAACAGCAGTCCACAACACCAACCCTTAACAAAAGCTTTGCTTTCAGTGAATCAACCAATCAGAACATGTCCTCAATGGCCCTGAAGCCTCTGCTACTCTCTCATACCTGTCTTTGCCAGTCTCCTGCTTGAAGAGCTCATCGAACTGTAGCATCTTGTGTCTTGTGATCATGAATGCCTTCAGCCGCGGCAGCACCTGGCTCAGGAGATGCAAGTTGTTGTACACCTGGCCCTTGCCATCTCTCCGCATGTAGCTGCTGGGGCCCCAGAAGATAAACACAGTGCCCTGGCTCACGTTGAGCAAGTCATGGCGATTACGGAGGATTCTCTGAATGCTGGAATGGGCGATGACCCTCAGGCTGGTGCGGTTGCCCACGTCGTGCCCGTAGCTGCGGGTGGGGGCATCATTCATGCGGATGACACACTCTGTCTGGTCAATCTGGGGGCCTTGCCCACTGCGGAGCAAATGCCCCGAGCTGGTCACCAGGGCGCAGTCCCTGCAGTGCATTTTCAGAGGCTGGAAGGATGGAGGAGGCAATGTCAGGCACAATGGACTGAACTTACTTAGTTATCTCCCTACCATGAGTGAGATTAGGGTGTTCATCTGGCGACCTGCCTGATTATATTCCATCCACTGTGACCATCAAGGATCCTTACATTCTCTCTAAACTGGTGATCCAAGAGAAATGAACTCAAGAAAAAGAGCACTGCCATCAATCTATTATATCTTGGCTAACATTTTCTGACATTAAATAACCACATGGATACATTAACTAGGCAAAGCTGTGATTATGGGCCTGTACCATCATGCTCATCCTCTTTATGACACTGATTTTGATGTTCTTCTTCACACTACTGAAAAGGTAAGCATTTATTAACATTCTTAGATGCTGTTCAAATATGTCTACCCTATGTAAAAACATCACATTAGACTCACACAAGAAGCCACATGGGGACTGTAACCCCTTTAACACCTGATTTGGAAATAATGTTGTAAGGAAGGGGGAGAATGGAGTCCTTCCATTTGCATGTAAAGAAAGCGTCAAGTTCAGAGCCCCAGATTTCATGTAGGAATTGTGAAGCTTGGTCTCTTCTTTCATCTGCAGCAAACATGTGCCACGAGGAAGCCCTGACCATGTGGTGCCACCAGGGACAACTCCAATCGCAGTGCTGAGTTCAACACCCTGAACCAATGATTTGCTTTGTGGACACCTATGTTCTAACAAATTAAACATCCCTCTGTTCACATTTAATGAGAAATATCTCTTAGTTGTTATTAGAAGATAATGAAAGTAGAGCCTGAGGCCAATGCCAGTTAAGTGCCAAAGAAAATGACAATCAGGATCTTCAGAGAGAAAGCTACACTGTTAGGTTTAGTCCAGAGCCTCTGCCCTTCTCTGTTAACTTTGATCAGGATTCACTGGCTCCCTGCCTGGCCTCAAGAAGTTGGATTCAATTTAGTTCTGCAAATATGCAGTCTTGTATTTACTGTGCGAGTTTCCTGAACCATGGCTGTGACTTTAGGACCTGACTAAGAAGACCCCAGGACAGACGCTTCTCTCACAGCAAGGCCTCTAAAGCATGGGGTCTGAGCTGTAATAGAATGAGTTCATCCAGGTTTCTATCAGCTATGGAGTCTTGGCAAATCACAGACCTCCACAAACCATAGTTTCTTTATCACTAAACAAGAAAAATCTCTGTTCTACCTAGTAAAAGGAACCAATTAAGATCCACACAATATTAGGCTGAACTACTTGAAATGAGTAATTTGATATGCATAAATAGCAATTGCATGTGGTTGAACTCAGTTCTTAGCATAGAACCTGACATAATAATCATTCAATAAATGATAGTGCTCTTGAGATTGTCATTTAGCATGAAGCATACTGGGAGCATATTGTAAGTACTTGCTAAATTTGTACTGATCTCTTTGGGTGTAATTGACACATGGGTTTGTGAAATAGAGTCAACCATTGCAAATTCGTACCATTCATGTAATAGCCAGTTGCTCTTGGGTGACAAATACTGGATAAGGCAGTCAGAATGCAAAAATGGAGAAAATAGGGCTCTTCAAAGTTTGTGCGTTGGAGAGGCACAGTGGATCCTTTATCAAAAGTGGGTCATTGAAGAAATGCATTAGGATGTGACATGTATGAGGAAGAGAGTTGATTGAGGTCTGGGTAATGGGGGTTGTTTGGAGCACAGCAAAGCTGGGAATATAAAGAAAGGTGTCATCAAGTAGCTCCTATTTATTGTGCTCTTTCCCTGTGCCAGACATTTACAAAGCTCATTATATAATTGTATTAATTCTTCAGAGACTCTTCCAGGGGTAGATAGATATTATATCATCATTGCCATTTTCCTAATATTGAAGTTTTAAAAAATGAAGCAATCTGTTCTAGGTCATACAGTTTGGAAGTGGGAGAGGAAGTCTGGTTTCAAAGCCAGTGGGATTAACCATTATGTTACTACTGTAGCACAGTGTCATGGGATAGTTATTCATTGTTTACCTTGCTTCCAACTCCCAGAAGCTGAGTTATGTTATTTTTAAATCAATAGATTATGTTGTGACAGCTCTGAAGGTATTGGGCTGGATGGATGCAGTAAGGTGACAAAGGTTTTCTAATGAAGACTTCCATTTCTTGAAGGGCCACTCAGTACAATCTTAAGTCCATGATGGTGGTACATATTTTCAAGCTGATTTATTTCTTGAGGAAAAACATTTCCCTCAGGAAGCACTAGACCTGAAAGAAGAAGTAAGTCCTCTTGGGTCCTTTGGGGTACTATGGGGTGAAGGGTAATTTCGGTAGCCCAAAGAAACACTTAACTTCCCGTTTTTCTCATTTTACTGGAACAGACCAAACACAAATGATAAGGAAGCAATGAGCTTAACAATTTTATTCATGATAGAGTTCCTACTATGAACCAGGCACTGAACTTGGTGTTACCGATAAAATAATCAATGAAACCTTTTCCTCAAAGAATATGTAGTCAAGGGTGAGGGTGCTCCCAGAGAAACTATTATAGTGCTGGACTAATTGGACCCAAGGGGCTATGAGAACCAAAGATAAGGGTAGATTTAGAATTGTCCATAAAAGACAACCAGGAAGGGATTATGGATGGAAACCACATAGGAGATAACTTGGGAAAGGAAAGAGTAGTTCATAGTGTCATAAACATGATAGGACAAGTCTGGAAAACAAAGCAGGTAGAACAGAGACTCAGAAACCAAAGTTTCACTTTAAAGAGCCAATAGATGGTTGATGGTGATGGTTGATGGTGGAACACAGCAGTCCCACAGAACTGATTCTGAATTTTAGGTGGCCACAGGCCTGCATCTTGGGGAAGTCCTTAGTCCTGGGCACATTTCTGCCACTCATGTAGAAGCCCACTAAACATTTCTATGAAAATGGTAAAAGGGGCTGGGAAGGTCGTTCAGTGGTAGAGCACTTGCCTTGCATGCTTGAGGCCCTGGGTTCGATTCCTCAGCACCACATAAGCAGAAAAAAAAGCCGGAAGTGGCTCTGTGGCTCAAGTGGTAGAGCGCTAGCCTTGAGCTGAAGAGCTGAGAGACAGCGGCCAAGCCCAGAGTTCAGGCCCCATGTCTGGACCCTCCCCCCCCCCCCAAAAAAAAGATAAAAAGATCCTTTGCAAATAGCATGTTACATGAAGAGAATGTGAGACTGAGGGTCTAAAGTTAACTTTTCCACAAACAAATGAACTACCTTTCCTACCAATTCAAAACAAAGAGGAGATGAATTAGATACTTGTGGCCAGATGACAGTGATTCATCACTCATTAAAATGAATGATGCAGTTAATTCACCCTGAAGTTCCATGTAAATCAGTATATTTTCTCCATAAGGTTACATAGAGAAACCTGTTAATCTCATTAGAATCACCTATAATGATCCCAAATTTTCCAGTTTAATTTATAAGTTCAAGACCTGCTCACTGTTACTAGGGAAACAACTTACAGAAAGATCCCAGTAGTATCTCTTTCCCCCATAATTTTTCTGCTGGAATCCTCACAGCAGAGGATTGACAGGGGAAGCACCTATCACCATAGGGACATTCCAAGGACCTTGTTCTATTTATCTTCTTTCCTTGAAGAAGAGCCTCTCATGAAGACTAAGGCTCTTGACTACACCTCTGACATTATTGGCATGATTGGACGCCGTCAGAATACTCTCAGGTCAACTCGGTCCCATAAATCCTTCCCCTCCTCCTTCCTGCCAACCTGCACGAGCTTTTTGCTATGAATTATCTTATATATTGATACCAGTCTTTGAGCTGTGCAGATGCATCAAACAATGAAAAAAAAATTAAAGACACATCAAACAGTGAAAAACAAGACTGAAATCTGAACTGTAGCTTAAGTGCCTTTTGGTAAGTGATATCAATAAGATGGCAGTAGCAGTTCAAACATCATGTTATACTGTTTTTAACTAAAGAGCATACACATGGTATGACAATTTCTTAGGAGGATAGTCCTCTGAAACAGCCATGTTCCTCTCTCTTTCACTACAGATCAGTAGAGTCTGTAGTGTCTTAATGGTATGGATGGAATTACTCACCCCTTGGTGAATTAAGATTCCAGATGCAGTATTCACATGCTCTTCCCTCAAGTACTAGGTTGCTGGGTTGATAAGTCACTAAGCAGAGCATGGCAAAGGTTAACACGTGGCTCTGCCTGTCTGCCTGGGAAATAAAGCACCATGGAGGAGGACACAGGAGACTGAGTGACTCCCAGCTGGATTCTCCATTTAGCAAGACCGCTCTGGCTTCGTCCACATAGTATTCAGGCTCATTCTCCGGGACATTTTCCTTAACGTTGTATTTGGTCAGATGCTCCATTCATTGCTTGGAAATATGGATAACTATATTGTCACCCTAGTCTTGGTAATCTCTCTTCTATCCTGACTTATAAAAAGCATTTAACTAATGAGGGATGGATGGATTTATGAGTGAACGAAACTCAAACTTTTGCCTTCTCTGTCCTAAGAGAAAATCTACATCCTGAGACATATACAGGAGATATATAATGTAGCACACTAACCAGCAATTGGTTTATAACTACCTTAGTGCTGATGCTGTGGTGGGAGGAGGGAATGGACCCTAGAAACTTCCATGTGCAGAGGAGGCTGCTTCCTGCTACCTCAGGGCAGCCTATCAGCCCAGGGAGCCCATAATGGCCAGAGCTCAGGGCACTGCCTGGAATTAATGGCTGGCTGGGAAAATGGCCCAGGACACAGTGAGGGCCATTAAGCCCAGCCAGTTATTAATCCCCTGTAAGATTTGATGCCAAGGTCATTAGAGCTGTTGTGAGGTGAAAAATGCCCAGGAAAATCCACAATACAAGGAGGAGCTCCGCCTTCTCCAGGCTGATGAGGCTCAGTGCTGCAGTTCCGGCCCAGGACCCCATGGAGGAGCAAACAAGCTGGACCAGGGCCTGTGGGAGGTGGGTGAGTGGCTCCCCAGGGAGAAGTGGTTCACATACAGATGTCTGTGAACATGT